TGTGCGCCACTACAGTCCGTAGGCCCCACCGGCCCCGCTGACCCTGCGCACGCCTTTTCAGTGTCTTTACTGCTTCTACTCCTGCCGTATCACTATGGCTAGTCCTCCTGTTCTAGCTTTCGACGCCGAGGTAGCTGTTGACTCGCGTCCTGCGTCTGGGGGTGCTGAGCCTAGGAGTGCTGAGTCTGGGGGTGCTGGGCCTGGAGGTGCGGAGCCTGGGGGTGCTGAGCCTGGGGGTACGGAGCCTGGGGGTGCTGAGCCTGGGGGTGCGGAGCCTGGGGGTGCGGAGCCTGGAGGTGCTGAGTCTGGGGGTGCTACGCCTGGAGGAGCCCTCTCCTCCCAGCAGCTGCAGGAGAGGTACCTCGAGTACTGCCGCCTCCGGAGAGGTGCTACTGGAGCTCGTCCCGTTTACTTCCCCTCCTTCCCAGGAGCTCCCCCCCATTCAGGTGATTCGAGAGTGGTACACACGGCGCTGCAGTCTTCGGAGTGGTCCTCCTGGCGCTGCGGACCCGGACGTTGGAGCTGCTACAGGTGCTGAGGACCCGGACGTTGGAGCTGCTCCTGGTGCTGCGGACCCGACTGGTGGCGCGCTGCTGGTAAGAGGACGGATGTTGGAGCTGCTGCTGGAGCTGAGGACCCGAGCGGTGGCGCTGCTGCTGCTGCTGAGGACCCGGGCGTTGGAGCTGCTACTGGTGCTGCGGACCCGACTGGTGGCGCTGCTGCTGGTGCTGAGGACCCGACCGGTGACGCTGCTGCTGGTGCTGCGGACCAGGGTGTTGGAGCTACTGCTGGTGCTGAGGACTTGGGCGCTGGGGCTGCCGCTGGTGTCCCTGCTGCTTCTGGAGACGCTGCGCGGCCGCGACCGTACTTCGTCCCGCTCCTTCAGCAGGTTCTTGGTCAGGCTCCTCCTCCTGGTCCTCCTCCCTCCGTCGAGGGTCCTCTACCTGTCCAGCCGCAGTCACAGTTACCGCCCGCCTCGCCTCTCCCGGCTCCCTCTCCTTACACTGGTCCCACAGGAGGTCTTATAGAGCGTCGTGAGCCTGAGTCTCGTCCTGCGTCGCCTGTTCGTACCGCTCGCACTGGTCGTCGTGTCCCACGTGAGCGTCCTCCTCCTGTCCCTGGCACTCACTACATGACGCTGCGTCCCTCCACTGCTCCGCAGCGTGTCCCGCTGCCGTCTCCTCCTGCGTCCTCCCTACCTACTCTTCGTGACCTGGAGTCTGACGCCCGTCGTGCTGCCAGTCCCACTGTTACGCGTCTCCTTGCTACCGTTGTCACTGACCCTTCTTTTGAGTCCGCCGCTGCGTCTGCTCTGGTCGCTGAGTTAGTTGACTTTGCTGCTTGCTGTCGCCTAGACTACGCTGCTAGCCTAGTGGCTGAGTCTGAGTCTGAGTCTGCCTGTCCTCCGTCCGTCGGGGGTGCGTGTGCTCTTGGCACGGACGTCCTTGAGGACAGACAGGAGGAGTTCCACTGCCTTGCTGCTGCTTTGCCCCGTCTCGTGTCCTTGCTAGTTGCCCCTGAGGGAGACCCGGATGCACCAGACATCCCGACCCCACGCTCTTACGCTGAGGCGATGGCGGGTCCCTACTCCTCTCAGTGGCAGACAGCCATGGACGCAGAGATGGCCTCCTGGAAGTCCACAGGCACCTACGTAGACGAGGTTCCCCCTCCTGGGGCGAACATCGTCAGTGGCATGTGGATTTTCAGGGTGAAGCGGCCGCCGGGTTCTCCACCTGTCTTCAAGGCGCGCTACGTGGCTCGAGGCTTCAGTCAGCGAGAGGGAGTAGACTTCTTTCAGACCTTCTCCCCCACCCCGAAGATGACTACTCTTCGGGTGCTGCTGCACATAGCCGCTCACCGCGACTACGAGCTTCACTCTCTTGACTTCAGCACTGCTTTCTTGCAGGGCAGCCTGCACGAGGAGATCTGGCTGCGCCGCCCCCCTGGCTTCACTGGGTCAGTTCCTCCTGGCACCCAGTGGAGGCTTCAGCGGCCGGTCTACGGTCTCCGCCAGGCGCCACGTGAGTGGCACGACACACTGAGGACGACACTTGCGGCTCTTGGGTTCGCTCCCTCTACTGCTGACCCGTCGCTGTTTCTACGCACCGACACCTCGCTGCCGCCGTTCTACATCCTCGTGTACGTCGACGACTTGGTCTTTGCCACTGCTGACACCGCGGCACTCGCTCACGTGAAGTCGGAGTTGCAGAGGAGACACACGTGCACAGACCTGGGTGAGCTGACGAGCTATCTTGGCTTGCGGATCACCCGGGACAGAGCACGGCGCACCATCACCCTGACTCAGTCACACATGGTGCAGCAGGTTCTCCAGCGCTTCCGCTTCACGTACTCCTCGCCTCAGTCCACTCCTCTGCCTACCGGTCACTCGCTCTCAGCTCTGCCTTCGGATGAGTCCGTAGAGCCGAGTGGCCCGTATCCAGAGCTTGTGGGCTGCCTCATGTACCTGATGACCTGCACTCGACCTGACCTTGCATACCCTCTTAGCATCCTAGCACGCTATGTCGCTCCTGGCCGTCACCGGAAGGAGCACATGGATGCTGCTAAGAGGGTGTTGCGCTACTTGTGCAGTACGTCGGGCATGGGGCTTGTGCTTGGAGGGCGAGACCGGGTTGTTCTCACAGGGCACTCAGACGCTTCTTGGGCAGACGACCAGGCTACTCAGCGGTCGTCCCAGGGTTACACCTTCAGTCTTGGCTCTGGCTCAGTTTCTTGGCGTTCTACTCGCTCTTCTTCTGTTCTCAGCTCCAGTTGTGAGGCTGAGATCTACGCCACAGCCATGGCTGCTCAGGAGCTACGCTGGCTGACCTACCTGCTGACCGACCTCGGAGAGCGGCCTCGTTCTCCTCCAGTACTGTACGTCGACAACAAGGCTGCCATTGCCTTGTGTGAGGAGCACAGACTGGAGCACAGAACGAAGCACATCGCTCTGCGGTACTTCCTTGCTCGAGAGCTGCAGCAGCGTGGTCAGCTTTGTCTGCGTTACGTGGCCACGGAGGCCAACACTGCTGATGTGTTCACCAAGGCGCTTCAGCCTTGTGACCATCAGCGCTTTTGCACGCTGCTAGGCCTTGTACCTACTGGGCCTCACTTGCTTACCTCTTGACCTTGCTTGTACTGTGATCACTATATATATATGCCTACTTGTTTACTTCTGCTAGGTTGTGATCACTGTATCTCTTGCTTTGTTATAAACCTGCATGTGAACTGGTCTTGTGACCGCTTGTTTGTGCTCGGAATTTGTGTGGAATCCTTGAGATCCACCCTGAGCTTGCTTTGCTTTGCTTTGACTGGTCTTGTGACCCTGTGGTTGTCTCCCACTGCGCCTATGGGGGTGTGTCAAACATTGCATGTTTATATTGTCTAGGCTGTAGTGGGTTATACCTTAGGGGGTACACAAAGTTAGGGTTTCCTACTTGTACCACATTCTGTGCTAGTTCATTCATTCCTGCTCAGTTATTTCTGACACCTACCTGCTTTAGCTAGACTAAGTTAGATGTTCTACGCTAGACTAAACTACCCCTAAACCCGTAATATAGCTCATTAGATGTTGCTGTTCGGTAGAATCTTGACACCTCACCCAGATTAAAATAGCAGCTAGATCGGTTTTTGGGGCTTCTAACAGTTAGGTCGTTCTTAGCTAGTGCTTCCTTTCCACTTATTCAAGTTTCGTCCGTCTCCCTTGAAGCCATCTCATGTTCACATTTCCTTAACACATTCAATGCAGGTGGTTTTCCTTCTTCCTTTCTTTCTTTATTTTTTATCATCTTATGCGTTCTTCCTTTAGGTGGCCTGCTACGTATGTGCCACCTACTCCATTTTTATGCCATTGCTGAGAAGAACCTAATCTATAACTTAGATCTAGGTTAGATATTATTTACTAGACTAAGCCAGATCTCATCATCATCTTCGCTTAGATCTCATCTTATCATCATCATAATCTTCGCTTTCTTCTCTTCTTAGGCTTCTCATATTTTGTTATCGACTTTATTTGAAAGAGCGAGAATGGAAGAGATAAAGAACATCTCATTGGTTCATACTGGATTCTTTTTTGGGTTGCGAAGCAACCTATTACAATCGTTATGTACAATTTTTTTCATCCTCTATATTATAAAAAAAAATAAAGAAAATCTAGTGAATGGTAGCTTTAGTGCCTGATTACTATGTATATGCCACACCTGCCGTTCCACATTCCTTCTCATTTTCTAGTTTGACATTGTCTATACTGTATGGATGAAACATGTGCGGAGAATCACTGTACAATAGTCGTGAGCTAGACTACGGGGGTGTTGGCACGAAATACTAGGAGTTATTATAGCTTTGCTTGGTTCCTTAGCACTTGCGCATTCACGAGAAAAATTGGCAATAATTTCCACTAGCAAAGTTCTCATTACAGAATGATTGAACATACAATGACAAGAATAACTACATCAGGCTTCTAGCAACTCTGCAGCTAGCTTGGTCAACCGCCAGCACAGCATAGTCGACCGCCTGCCAGCGTTGCGAAGAGGAGCCGTGCCAGCACTGCAAGAACGTGGCCTGCCAACATAGCAGGTTAACGACGTGCCAACACCGCACCAGAGCGGCTGTCCAGCGTTGCACCCGTAGAAGACAGCAGTGTGCACGCATGCATGTGCGTGCATACGATTGGTCCAACTTGCACCGTTGTACATTTGTCGGTTGTTGTCTGCGCCTGACGAGCCACATCGACTTCAGGATACCAGCCCGAAGTTGCCTTCGTCACTGCGACATTGACAACATTCGCGTGCCTCCGCAGAACTCGCCGAGCAGGTTACCTGGTCGACCTGGTCGACCACCCTGTGAGCGCCCTAGTCGACAAGCCCCTCGTCGACTACTGCGCCCGTCGAACTGCCCCTCCTGGTCGACGGCCCGTCTGTCGACCAGCCCAGTCAGCTGCAGCCGTCGAATTCCCGTGGTCCACAGTTCCAGCCCGCGATAGTGCTGTGCAGGTTGACGACCACCTCGTCGACGTGCCCCGCAGAAGAAGGCCACCGAGCTCCCCAAGTCGACGGCAGCACCGCAGTGATCTCATGCAGCCCGACGAGTCCCGTCGAGCAGCTCCCTCTCTGCGTACGGTCGGCTGCTTCTCCCATACACCCAACCAAGCCGTCGGTGTTGCCCAAGCGAGGGCGGGGCCAACACTCCATTCCCGTTAACACTCCCCTGCCGTGCTCACGCTTGGGCCCCCAGCTCACACGGCAGCATTCCACGGAGAGAACTCGTCCTCTGCGTGCATCCCATGCACAGCACGCCGTTACCCGTGCAGAAGGGAACGTCACCTACTGCTGCACCTAGTCGTCACCCATCGCCGACATCCGCCAGACGCACCTGGCCGATCATGACGGATCACCGGTTGAAGGCCAGAAAGTGAAGCGCCTTCGTCAGAAAATCAGCAGGCTGCTCAGTGGTCACGATGTACTTCAGCACGAACTTCCCGCGCCTCACAATGTGCTGCAGCTAAGCGTAGCGTCGCTCCACATGCTTAAGGTTGCCCGTGAGCCCAAGCCCTCAGTGACCGTGATGGCCGACTTGTTGTCCACCCGAAGGCCAGTCGGCTTCCCAGTGTCGAGTTTCTGAAACTCCGCAAGGAGGAAGCGGAGTCAGCGTCCGTCCTTGCCATCGTCCATGGCTGCCACGCACTTCGACTCGGTCGACGAGAGCGTCGCGCACTTGATGCGCGAGCTCGACCAGGAGACGGCTGCCCCCCCTCCGTAGACAAACACGTAGTCGTCCGTGCTCGTCCGGTTCTGCTTGTCGCTCGGGTCATCTGCATCCACGTAGCCAATCAGCTCCAACAACTCTGGACCACCGCCAAACTCCCGGGTGGTGTCGCGGTTGTCAGCAAGGTAGGCGAGGCAGCGGTCGACCTCACGCCAATGCTGGTCGCTCCTCATCATAAGGTCGCTCCCCAGCTTGCTGCACGTGAACGCGATATCCGGCCTCGTCATCGTCGCCGCGAACTGCAGCGAGCCAACCTTCTGCCGGTACTCCTCCTCCTTGTGCTCCTGCGCCTCCTCGTTGTCGAAGGTCAGATCGGCGTAGGCGACGACAGAGACCGGTGCTTTGCGACTCGACCGCCCTGCTCCTCGTCAATGAAGCGCCTGCGCAGATTGTCGGCGTGGCTCTGCTGGTGCAGCCACATCTTCCTTGCCGGCCTCTCGTGCACGATCTCTGGCCCAAAGTACTTCACCACCGGCGAGATCTCGCGCAGCTCAAAGGCGGCCTCCAGCAGCTTCTTCAGCTCCTTCAGCATCGCGGTGCTGCTGCTGGCGGCGAGCAGGTCGTCGACGTAGACCAACAAGCAGAAGGTAACTCTATCGTCGCTGACCTTCAAGTAGAGCGCCTCGTCGACCTGGCTCTTCTTCCAGCTAGCGCCCAGCAGCACGCCGTCGAGAGCCCTGTACCACAGCAGCGGCGACTGCTTCAGCCTGTAGAGGCTCTTCAGCAGCTCGCATACCCGGCAGGTCCCGTCGTCGAAGTAGTCCGGCTGGTACATGTATAGCACCCGTTCGAGCTTGCTTTGCAGGAAAGCGTTCTTCATGTCGAGCTGCATCAGGTTGAGGTCGAGGACGGCAACGATGCTGAGGAAGATCCTCAGCGTGACGTAGCTGCTCACAGGCGAGTAAGTCTCTTCGTAGTCGGCACCGTACAGATGCGTGAAGCCCTTTACGACCAGCCTCGACTTCTCGCGCTTGAGAGGGTCATCGATGTGGTACTTCGTTGTCAGCACCCACCGGTTCTTCATGATGTTTACACCGCGCGAGCGTTCGACAGCTCCCACGTGCCATTGCTGATGAGACTGCGGATCTCCTCGTCCATGGCAGCCTTCACTGCCTCACCCTTCCAGCTCGCCAGCGCCTCCTTCACTGTCATCGTCGCGATGTCCCAGCAGTGCTCGGGGTCGGCGTGCACGTCGGGGTCGAGCTCTGGAAGATCAACATCGGCGTCCTTATCGTCGAGCAGCGTCGTGAAGGCGGCAGGTGGCAGACAGGCATGGAAATTCAGCCGCTCTGGTGGCCGTCAAGCTCGGCCCGAACGTCATAGCTCAGGCTCAGGCTTCATGATCGGAACCTCCACCACATCACTGTCACTGGACTCCTCTCCTGTCGTCAACACACCTGGCTCGGAAACGACCCAGTAAAGCCAGGTGGGCGGCGCAGCCAGATCTCCTCGTGCAGGCTGCCCTGCAGGAACGCTGTGCTGAAGTCAAGAGAGTGAAGCTCGTAGTCACGCTGAGCAGCAACGTGCAGCAGAACCCGAAGAGTGGTCATCTTCGGGGTGGGGAGAAGGTCTGGAAGAAGTCGACCCCCTGACGCTGACTGAAGCCTCTAGCAACGTAACAAGCCTTGAAGACAGGCGGAGAACCTGGCGGCCGCTTCACCCTGAAAATCCACATACCATCGACGATGTTCGCCCCAGGAGGGGGAACCTCGTCGACGTAGGTGTCTGTGGACTTCCAGGATGCCATCTCTGCGTCCATAGCTGTCTGCCACTGAGAGGAGTAGGGACCCGAGATCGCCTCTGCGTAAGTGCGCAGAGTGGGGATGTCTAGTGCATCCGGGTCTCCCTCAGGGGCAAGCAACCAGGCCACGAGATGAGGTACAGCAGCCGCAAGAGAGTCAAAGTCCTCCTGCCTGTCCTCAAGGACGTCCGTGCCAAGAGCACAACTCCACCCCCGACGGACGGAGGACAGACAGACGCAGACTCTGACTCAGCAACAAGGCTAGCAGCGTAGTCTAGACGACAGGCAGCAGCAAAGTCAACCAACTCAGCGACCAGAGCAGACGCAGCCGAGGACTCAAAGGTAGGGTCAGTGACAACAGTAGCGAGGAGACGCGTGACTGTAGGGTGCTCAGCGCGATACCGGTCAGACTCAGGGTCCGGAACGGCAGGCAAAGAGGACGCAGGAGGAGACGGTAGAGGGACACGCCGAGGAGCAGTAGAGGGACGCAGAGTCATGTAGTGAGTGCCTGGGACAGGAGGAGGACGCTCACGACGGACACGACTACCAGTGCGAGCAGGACGAACAGCGACGCAGACGAGACACACAAACTCACGACGCTCTGTAAGACCTCCTGTGGGACCAGCGTAAGGAGAGGGAGCAGGGAGAGGCGAGGCAGGCGGTAACTGTGACTGCGGCTGGACAGGCGGAGGACACTCTACGGAGGGAGGAGGACAAGGAGGAGGAGCCTGCCCAAGAACCTGCTGAAGGAGCGGTACGAAGTACGGTCGCGGCCGCGCAGCGTCTCCAGAAGCAGAAGAGACTCCAGCGGCCGGGTCCTCAGGACCAGCAGGAGCTCCAACGTCCGGGTCCCCAGCACCAGCAGCACGCCACCACCGCTCGGGTCCTCAGCTCCAGCAGCAGCTCCACCAGGCGGGTCCGCAGCACCAGCAGCAGCGCCACCCCCAGAGTCAGCAGCTCCAACTCCGCTAGCACCGCCAGCGCCAGAGTCCCCAGCTCCAGCAGCTCCAGTCGCAGTGCTCCCAGAACAACCAGTCCCGGCAGCTCCAGTACCCCCAGTACGAGCACCCCCAGGACGAGCAGCCCCAGCACCCCCAACTCCAGCCGAGCCACTAGGACGGCGAAAGCGCCGGACGTACCAGTCACGAAGCTGCTGCGGTGTGAGAGACTGCTCAGCACCCCGAACCGGAGCACCCCCAGACGCAGTAACCCGAGGCTCCGTAGGCTCAGTAGCAGCACCCCCAGGCTCAGTACCCGCAGGCTCAGTACCCGCAGGCTCAGCACCCCCAGTCGCAGCACCCCCAGGCTCAGCACCCCCAGGCGGCAAACTCTCAGGCACAGTACCCTCAGCTCCAGCACCCGTAGTCCTAGCACTTCCAGGCCCCGCACCCGCAGGCTCAGCAACCCCAGGCTCAGCACCCCCAGGCTCCGTACTCTCAGGCACCGTACCCTCAGCTCCAGCACCCTCAGTCCCAGCACCTGCAGCCCCAGCACCCCCAGGCCCAGCACCCCCAGGCTCAGCACCCCCAGGCTCAGCACTCCCAGCAGCACCACCCGCAGCAGCACCTGAGTCACCTGTGAACTCGACTGGCTCAGCGACGGGAGGAGGTGTACCTGAGAGACACCTGAAGGAGCAGGACCCTGAGGGGGAAGGGGGTCTACCGGAGGGGGACCAGGAGCAAGGAAAAGCGGCGGGGGAGGGAGGGGGGCAGTGCGGTAGGGGAAGAGACGGTAAAAAGGGACCGACTCGTCAAAGGTGACATCCTGAGAGGCGAAGACCCGGCGCGAGGTGGGGTGGTAAAACTGCCAGCCAGGCGCGTCAGGGACAAAGCCAAGGAAGACACAGGGAAGCGTGCGGGAGGAGAGCTTGTCCGCGGACGTATCGCGGACAAGGGCACGAGCACCCCACACCCGGAAGCGCGACGCATCGCCAACCTCCCCCGTCCAACGCAGTGTGGGCGAGGTCTCCAGCAAGGAGACACGGGGCCAGAGGTTGAGCTGATGCGCGGCGTACCGGACAGCAAACGGCCACAGAAAATGGGGAGCCGCCGCGTGGACCAAGGAGGTACGAGCGACCTCCATGACCAGGCCAATGCGGCGCTCAGCAACCCCATTCTGCTGCGGGGAGTCCGGAAGCGTGAAGGTCTGCTCGATGCCCTCCGCCTGACAGAAGGTCCTCAAGAGATCGGAGGAAAACTCACCACCTTTGTCAGAGTGCAGACGCAGGACAGGAAGATCCGTCCGGAAACGGCGGCGGAGCGGGAGACGAACCGGCGGATCCAAGGGATCATAACAGCAGGACCTCACCCTTGGTGCGCAAGGGGAAGACCGTGGTGTAACGCGAGTAGTCGTCGACAACCAGCAAAAAGTACCGCTCACGCACACGCCCTGACCACGAACGCGGGGCTGGGCCCCACACGTCCAGGTGGAGGGTCTGCAGAGGAGCCTCTGTCGGGGGAAAGGAGGAGGAGGACGGCGCGCTGCCGCCCCTCGACGCAAGGAAGGCAAGGCGGCGCAGGCGAGGCAGGGAGGGGAGGGAGGGACCTGGGAAGACCAGACACAAGGTGGCGACGGTGCATGCCACGAAGGCGTGGCAAGGAGGGGTGACCCAGGCGGTGGTGCCAGAGAAGAGTCTGGTGCGACAGGGAACGACACTCACAGGCGTGGGCTACCAGACCTGACGCAGACACCTGACCGACAGCAGCGACCTGAGGAGACGCAGTGGTCAGTGTGTAGAGACTCGACCCCGGCCGACGGGTAAACGTAGCCAGGTGACGGCCGTCCCCTGGAGCACGTGCAGATCGCCACACGCTGTCCGCCAGGGGTAAAGGTGTCAACCCACTGATCCTGGAGGACAGCGTTGCTCACCAGGTTCGTCGAGAACGAGGGGAGGTGGAAACCCGACAACGAGCCAGACGGAACCGCCGGACAAGGGAGGACAGTGGTGGACTGGGCAAGGACTGGGCCCCCAGAGGGTCAGCCAAGGAGACTGGGACCCGGTTGCAGGAAGCGGTGTGAGCTCAGTACTGTCACGAAAGAAGCAACGGGAAGCACCTGAGTCAAGGGTGAAGGTGTTGACAAGGCCTCGCCGGTGCGGGAACCTGAGGAGAGCAGTCTCTGTGGGTGCTGTACCTGAGAGAGCAGACTCGAAACCAGCCGGGACAGCACTGGGGGGAGCAAGTACAGGGGGCACCATACCAGAGAGAGCAGACTCACTAGTACCCAGGGCAGCGGCTCTTACCTGGGTCAGGCGGCACACACAAGTAACAGTCTCCCTCGGCACTAACAGTCAATGCATACATGGCAGCAATAATAGCATCATAGTCAAGAGCAAAGACATCAACACCAGCCCTCATGAGCTCAGCCCAGCGGGGGCGCTCAACATCCGCGCCCATCTCCCTCCCCACCCAAGCGTCGTCAAGGCGGGAGAAGCAGCGGTACGGGGTGTGGAACCTCCCACACGTCTGTCCCTTGCGGTCACCTGTGCGAATGACATAAGAACAGCGGCCACTGGCCCCCGACGTCCCACGCTGAGCAAGCCACTCACGAAGCTGCTGGGTCGTCTGGGCGCTGCCTTAGCTGCTGGGAGCTCTGGCCCGAGCAAGTGCCTGCACTCCGACCCCGCCGCCACCACTACCAACCGCTCCGACCGCCACCGCCAACACCCCGCGACCACCACCGCCACCGCCGCCACCGCCGCCGCCGCCAGCCGCAGCACTACTGCCACTGCTTCCGCCGCCGCCCCCGCCTCCACCACCGACCCCACTCCCACCAGCGCTCCCCCACCACCGCTCCCTCCAGCACCGCCTCCCCCCCCACCTCCCCCACCTCCTCCCCCCCCAGCGCCACCACCACCACCCTTGCCCCCCTTGCCCTTGCCGGTGCGGCGCCTCCCACCAGGAGCAGAAGCAGCGCCAACAGACTCAGCACCAAGGAAGTCAACAGCAGCAGCAGCAGCAGCGTAGGAGGGAGCGAGGGGAGAGGGAGAACACCCCTCAAAGATGGGGGTGCGAGGAGCGCCACGAGCAGCACCGACAGCTACAATGCTCTTTTCGGCCGCGAGCAGGTGCTCCTCTAGGAGGGCGACTGTGAGCTCAGTGGGACAGCGAGCAAGGAAGTGGTCTCGAACTGAGCGGAGGGTGTCAGGGAGACGGGTGACTATGAAGTGGAGTGTCCAGTACAGTGGAGGGGGGTTCTTAGCGCAGAACTCGGTGGGAAGGGCGGCACGCAGGCGAGCATCACTAGTGCGAAGGTGGGTGATAAGATCGCGAATGTAGTAAAGGTGGACAGATCGGGGAACAGGTACGGCAGCATGAGGCGGCTAAGCTCGGCTGTGGCAGGCGAGGAGTAGCGAGAAGCGACAGCATCGTACAGGGCCTTAGCGGATTTGCAGTCGCCAAAATGCTCGAGCTCAGCTAGCGGCAGGTGACTACGAATGGCTAGGCGAGCAGCTGCGTCACGAGTCTGCCAGTGGGAACGAACACTAAGCTCGGCTGTGGCAGCAGGAGCAGCGGCAGCACCAGACGCGTAGTCATAGAGGGAGATGTGGTCCGTGCTATTGCTCATAAGATACAACTGCAGGTCGTCGAGCCAGGAAGTGAACTGCACGGGACGGCCCTCAGCATCGAAGGAAAGAACGCGAATAGAGGCCATAGCTCAGGCGTGAGGGCACAGCAGAGCAGCGGCAGCAGCAGAGGGGACGCAGCAAGCGGGCAGTGAGGCAGCGGGCGGCGCTGCGAAGCAGGTAGCGGGCGGGCGGGCGGCGCTGCGAGCGGGCAGCGAAGCGGGCGGGCCGCGAAGCGGGCAGCGAGCGGGCGGGCGGGCTGCGAAGCGGGCAGCGGGGCGAGCGGGCTGCGAAGCGGGCGGGCCGCGAAGCGGGCAGCGAGCGGGCGGGCGGGCTGCGAAGTGGGCGGGCCGCGAAGCGGGCAGCGGGGCGAGCGGGCTGCGAAGCGGGCGGGCGGGCCGCGAAGCGGGCAGCGAGCGGGCGGGCGGGCTGCGAAGCGGGCGGGCCGCGAAGCGGGCAGCGAGCGAGCGGGCTGCGAAGCGGGCGGGCCGCGAAGCGGGCAGCGAGCGGGCGGGCGGGCCGCGAAGCGGGCAGCGAGCGGGCGAGCGGGCTGCGAAGCGGGCGGGCCGCGAAGCGGGCAGCGAGCGAGCGGGCTGCGAAGCGGGCGGGCCGCGAAGCGGGCAGCGAGCGGGCGGGCGGGCTGCGTGGCGGGCGGGCCGCGAAGCGGGCAGCGAGCGGGCGGGCGGGCTGCGAAGCGGGCAGCAGGACGAGCGGGCTGCGAGCGGGCGGCTCGGCGGGCGGGCGACACTGCGAGGGGCGCGCGAGGGCGCTAGTGAGGGGCGCGCGAGGGCGCTAGCAAGGGGCGCGCGAGGGCGCTAACGAGGGGCGCGCGAGGGCGCTAACGAGGGTGCGCGCGAGGGCGCTAACGAGGGGCGCGCGAGGGCGCTAACGAGGGCGCACGAGGGCGCTACGAGGCTAGGGCACGGGGTAGCGTGGTAACCGCATGCGAGCGGTGGTGGGCCCTTAAAAAAAACGGTCGGTAGGTCCTAGGGACCTCCTGCTCTGAATACCATTTCAGAATAGCTAGGCAAGAATGATTGAACTAGCAGAAGTTTGGGTACAAATATGAAACCCTAGTTGGGGTTGTACCCCATATTGGCTACCCCACTACAGCCTACAAGCATAATACAGTTTAACACACCCCCATAGGCAAAGTGGGGGAGAACAAAGGGTCACAAGACCAGTCCAGCAAAGCAAAACAAAGCCCAGGGTGGATCACAACGTCACCACACTCCGAGCACAAGTAAAGGCCACAAGGCCAGTTCACATGCAGTGCTAGATATAGTACAAGACAAGCAACACAGTGATCAAAACCTAGCAAGCAAGCAACAAGATATATATAAAGTACAGTACAAAGAATGTCAAGCAGTGAGCAAGTGAGGAAACGTGGACACAAGGCCTAAAGAAGTACAGTGCCGCTGATGATCACTAGGCGGGAGCGCCTTGGTGAAGATATCAGCAGTGTTGGCCTTCGAGTCCACGTACACAAGCCGAAGCTGACCGCGCTGCTGAAGCTCTCGAGCAAGAAAGTAGCGAAGAGCAATGTGCTTCGTCCTGTGCTCCAGTCTGTGCTCCTGACACAAGGCAAGAGCCGCCTTGTTGTCACCGTACAGAACTGGAGGAGAACTAGGCCGCTCTCCCAAGTCAGTCAGCAGGTAGGTGAGCCAGCGTAACTCCTGTGCAGCCATGGCTGTGGCGTAGATCTCAGCCTCACAACTAGAGCCGAGAACAGAGGAAGAGCGGGTGGACCGCCACGAGACAGAACCAGAGCCAAGGCTGAAGGTGTAACCCTGTGACGACCGCTGCGTAGCCAGGTCGTCCACCCAAGAAGCGTCCGAGTGACCAGTGAGGACAACTCTGTCGCGTCCTCCAAGCACCAGCCCCATGCCTGATGTACTGCACAGGTAACGCAGCACCCTCTTAGCAGCCTCCCAGTGCTCTCGCCTGTGTCTCCCAGGCGCAACGTAACGAGCAAGGATGCTAAGAGGGTACGCGAGGTCAGGTCGCGTGCAAGTCATCAGGTACATGAGGCAGCCTACAAGCTCTGGGTACGGGCCACTCGGCTCTACGGACTCGTCCGAAGGTGGAGCTGAGAGCGAGTGGCTGGTAGCCAGAGGTGTGGCATGTGGTGAGGAGAACTGGAAGCCGAAGCGCTGAAGGACCTGCTGCACCATGTGTGACTGAGTCAGGGTGATGGTGCGGCGAGCTCTGTCCCGGGTGATCTGCAAGCCAAGGTAGCTACGCAGTTCACCCAGGTCAGTGCAGGTGTGTCTCTTCTGCAGCTCCGACTTCACACGAGCGAGTGCCTCAGTGTCAGCAGTAGCAAAGACCAAGTCGTCGACGTACACGAGAATGTAGAACGGCGGCAGCGACGTGTCTGTGCGCAGAAACAGCGACGGGTCAGCAGTAGACGGCGCGAACCCAAGAGCCGCAAGTGTAGTCCTCAGTGTGTCGTGCCACTCACGTGGCGCCTGGCGGAGACCGTAGACTGGCCGGCGGAGACTCCACTGGGTACCAGGGGGAAACGACCCAGTAAAGCCAGGTGGGCGGCGCAGCCAGATCTCCTCGTGCAGGCTGCCCTGCAGGAACGCTGTGCTGAAGTCAAGAGAGTGAAGCTCGTAGTCACGCTGAGCAGCAACGTGCAGCAGAACCCGAAGAGTGGTCATCTTCGGGGTGGGGGAGAAGGTCTGGAAGAAGTCGACCCCCTGACGCTGACTGAAGCCTCTAGCAACGTAACGAGCCTTGAAGACAGGCGGAGAACCTGGCGGCCGCTTCACCCTGAAAATCCACATGCCATCGACGATGTTCGCCCCAGGAGGGGGAACCTCGTCGACGTAGGTGCCTGTGGACTTCCAGGATGCCATCTCTGCGTCCATGGCTGTCTGCCACTGAGAGGAGTAGGGACCCGAGATCGCCTCTGCGTAAGTGCGCGGAGTGGGGATGTCTAGTGCATCCGGGTCTCCCTCAGGGGCAAGCAACCAGGCCACGAGATGAGGTACAGCAGCCGCAAGAGAGTCAAAGTCCTCCTGCCTGTCCTCAAGGACGTCCGTGCCAAGAGCACACTCACCCCCGACGGACGGAGGACAGACAGACGCAGACTCTGACTCAGCAACAAGGCTAGCAGCGTAGTCTAGACGACAGGCAGCAGCAAAGTCAACCAACTCAGCGACCAGAGCAGACGCAGCCGAGGACTCAAAGGTAGGGTCAGTGACAACAGTAGCGAGGAGACGCGTGACTGTAGGGTGCTCAGCGCGATACCGGTCAGACTCAGGGTCCGGAACGGCAGGCAAAGAGGACGCAGGAGGAGACGGTAGAGGGACACGCCGAGGAGCAGTAGAGGGACGCAGAGTCATGTAGTGAGTGCCTGGGACAGGAGGAGGACGCTCACGACGGACACGACTACCAGTGCGAGCAGGACGAACAGGCGACGCAGGACGAGACTCAGGCTCACGACGCTCTGTAAGACCTCCTGTGGGACCAGCGTAAGGAGAGGGAGCAGGGAGAGGCGAGGCAGGCGGTAACTGTGACTGCGGCTGGACAGGCGGAGGACACTCTACGGAGGGAGGAGGACAAGGAGGAGGAGCCTGCCCAAGAACCTGCTGAAGGAGCGGTACGAAGTACGGTCGCGGCCGCGCAGCGTCTCCAGAAGCAGAAGAGACTCCAGCGGCCGGGTCCTCAGGACCAGCAGGAGCTCCAACGTCCGGGTCCCCAGCACCAGCAGCAGCGCCACCGCTCGGGTCCTCAGCTCCAGCAGCAGCTCCACCAGGCGGGTCCGCAGCACCAGCAGCAGCGCCACCCCCAGAGTCGGCAGCTCCAACTCCGCTAGCACCGCCAGCGCCAGAGTCCCCAGCTCCAGCAGCTCCAGTCGCAGTGCTCCCAGAACAACCAGTCCCGGCAGCTCCAGTACCCCCAGTACGAGCACCCCCAGGACGAGCAGCCCCAGCACCCCCAACTCCAGCCGAGCCACTAGGACGGCGAAAGCGCCGGACGTACCAGTCACGAAGCTGCTGCGGTGTGAGAGACTGCTCAGCACCCCGAACCGGAGCACCCCCAGACGCAGTAACCCGAGGCTCCGTAGGCTCAGTAGCAGCACCCCCAGGCTCAGTACCCGCAGGCTCAGTACCCGCAGGCTCAGCACCCCCAGTCGCAGCACCCCCAGGCTCAGCACCCCCAGGCGGCAAACTCTCAGGCACAGTACCCTCAGCTCCAGCACCCGTAGTCCCAGCACTCCCAGGCCCCGCACCCGCAGGCTCAGCACCCCCAGGCTCAGCACCCCCAGGCTCCGTACTCTCAGGCACCGTACCCTCAGCTCCAGCACCCTCAGTCCCAGCACCTGCAGCCCCAGCACCCCCAGGCCCAGCACCCCCAGGCTCAGCACCCCCAGGCTCAGCACTCCCAGCAGCACCACCCGCAGCAGCACCTGAGTCACCTGTGAACTCGACAGGCTCAGCGACGGGAGGAGGGTCTACCTGAGAGACACCTGAAGGAGCAGGACCCTGAGGGGGAAGGGGGTCTACCGGAGGGGGACCAGGAGCAAGGAAAAGCGGCGGGGGAGGGAGGGGGGCAGTGCGGTAGGGGAAGAGACGGTAAAAAGGGACCGACTCGTCAAAGGTGACATCCTGAGAGGCGAAGACCCGGCGCGAGGTGGGGTGGTAAAACTGCCAGCCAGGCGCGTCAGGGACAAAGCCAAGGAAGACACAGGGAAGCGTGCGGGAGGAGAGCTTGTCCGCGGACGTATCGCGGACAAGGGCACGAGCACCCCACACCCGGAAGCGCGACGCATCGCCAACCTCCCCCGTCCAACGCAGTGTGGGCGAGGTCTCCGGCAAGGAGACACGGGGCCAGAGGTTGAGCTGATGCGCGGCGTACCGGACAGCAAACGGCCACAGAAAATGGGGAGCCGCCGCGTGGACCAAGGAGGTACGAGCGACCTCCATGACCAGGCCAATGCGGCGCTCAGCAACCCCATTCTGCTGTGGGGAGTCCGGAAGCGTGAAGGTCTGCTCGATGCCCTCCGCCTGACAGAAGGTCCTCAAGAGATCGGAGGAAAACTCACCACCTCTGTCAGAGTGCAGACGCAGGACAGGAA